CTTAAGTGCCAGATATTTCCCAAAATGCGGGCTAAAAGAGTATGGTTTTATACTGACCAGGTAATGAATATTATGTTCAACTACAAAATGATAATATGTCAGCTGTTGTGTTCACAGCTTTTTCTGCTACCCCCACGTTGCAAATACTATAAACACTATTTTTGCTGTTCTATTTTGAGGTGGTGCATGCCAGTTTATTACTCAAAGATAGATATATGCAGAAGTAAAAAAAAATAATAATAATCTTTTTCTGGACACCTTGTTCTTCAAATGAGGGTAATGTTGCACATTTATTCCATATTTTAAGGGAGGGTTTGGTCAGCAGAAAAACACTGTTGACATATCTGGAGATTGTAACTTGTTATACATTTATACAAACCTTAGTTTTGGTTAATGAGCAACTTATTTAAAATACAGCAAACTAATTGTAGAAACCAGTGCCCACACATCAGGGTGATTGCAGAAAGGGGTTAATGTAGCCTCAAATTCAGGGGTAGATGGTAGTAGATAATCTCTAACATCAAAGTCTGTGTGTTAACTTGAATTAGCTAGTTGATTATTTTAAAAAAGAATAAATTAGACCAAGCAAGTTATTCAACTATCCCTGTCCAAACAGAGGTTAAAGTAGTATTGAGTATGGATGAATTGAGACCCAGTCACTTCAGGATGCACAGAGTCTCTCCTGCTGAGAATTGTTGATTCTATTCCAACTAGTCTTTCTTAGGTTACTATGAGACCAGAGCGAGCTCTGGGAGTGTGCTGCTCAGCTCTGATCCATTTGTGAAAGCAATTTGACACAATGAAAAAATCCCATCTACGGGCAGCTGTGGCTCAGAGGCAGAGTGGGTCGTCCACTAATCAGAAGGTTGTTGGTTCGATCCCTGGCTCCTCCTGCCTCGTGTCGAAGTGTCCTTGAGCAAGATACTGAACCCCAAATTGCTCCCGGTGCTGTGCATCGGTGTGTGAATGTGTATGAATGTGTTAGTTTCTGTTTGGTGGGCTTTGCCATCGCTGAGTGAATGTGTGTGAAAGGGCCAATGTGGCATGTAGTGCAAAAGCGCTTGAGTGGTCGGAAGACTAGAAAGGCGCTATACAAGTACAGGTCCATTTACCATTTACCATCAAAAACTAAAAGACATCAGATCTTTCAGCTCTCGCACCAATAGCAATTACATATCTGGGTTTGAAGTAGAAAATAACATGTATGACTTGTTTGACATAAATATATAAATCCCTTCAAGGATGACAGCAAGGGCTGTCACTTTTTAGATGGCAAAATTATTAAGAAAGTTGTTGACCTTGCTAAAGGCAACTGACCTACTCAACAACATAGATCTATCTCCTCCCTCCAACTTGACATGTTAAAAATATAATATAATCTGGCTTGGAAGATTATTATTTTTCCAGTTGTTTCAATTTAAACTAAACCTTCATATACAATAAAAACAAAACTATTTTGTTACGCAAAATGATGGCAAAATGTCAAAGATGCCTGCAAACGTGTGCAAAGGCTTAATAATAAGAGACCAACTTTCATTTGTTGTTTGGCTGCAAACAACAAAGATTATATAAAATTATGATATAAACTGCTGTTTGCATTTTTGTACAAGTATGATATAAGTGATGGAAATATATGGAAATATTTACAATATTTGTCTTTCTTGTAGTACCTAAGCGCTGACAAGGCCCTCCTATGAGATGACAATACCAGCAGTGGCCCAAAGCCAATTTGAGTTTGAGACCCCTGTTCTACAAACACAAGTGTGAGGACTTGCCTGTTAGCTTGCCACTACAGTGAGATAGCTCAGGCACCAGAAACAAGTGGAGCAATATCAACTGTACAACCTTAATTGGATGCCTACTTTGATGCCTTCATTACAGATAAAATAGATAGACGATAGATCATAAACCAGAAAATCAAGAGGATATGGTCAGATGCACTGCATTTGTTTGCAGTCTTCTGCAGTTGCCCACTATTTTCAGTTAAGACAAAAGTCCTAGGTAATGGCCTCACAAACCTCCATGTATACCTTAATTGACAGGTTCTGTTAGGCTAACTGAACATCAGGCAGACAGTTCAGCCGGAGGCTTTTTATTTACATTCCCTTACAATAGTTTGGTATTGAAGACACACAGAGGCGGAACAATGGCAACACCGTGCTGTTTCGGTGCAGGTGCTTGAAGCACCCAAAAAGAGCAAAAGACTCACATTAAAGCATTTCTCACAATATATTACACATCATACACTGAACAAAATTATAAACGCAACACTTTTGTTTTTGCCCCCATTCATCATGAGTTGAACTCAAAGATCTAAGACTTTCTCTATGTACACAAAAGGCCTATTTCTCTCAAATATTGTTCACAAATCTGTCAAAATCTGTGTTAGTGAGCACTTCTCCTTTGCCGAGATAATCCATCCACCTCACAGGTGTGGCATATCAAGATGCTGATCAGACAGCATGGGTATTGCACAGGTGTGCCTTAGGCTGGCCACAATAAAAGGCCACTCGAAAATGTGCAGTTCCATCACAATGTCACAGACTGCAAGTTTTGGGGGAGCGTGCAATTGGCATGCTGACTGCAGGAATGTCCACCAGAGCCATTGCCCGTGAGTTGAATGTTCATTTCTCTACCATAAGCTGTCTCCAAAGGCATTTCAGAGAATTTGGCAGTACATCCAACCGCTTAAAACAAAGTAATTGTGGAATGAACTAAAAATGTAATTTCTCAACTTTAAACATATTTTTAAAAATAGTCAAAAGAGCCCATGCCAGGAAACTGTAAACTATTTGATTATTTTAAATAAACAAAATGTTTATTCTTTTATGTTACATTTCAACCCTGTCTGTTTAGTTTTTCCTTTTCTTTTCAAAAATAACTATTTTGTTATTACTTCTTTTAAGTAATGATGGTTAAATGTAACCTATATATAAATTCAAAAAATAATTTCTTACGAGGTTAGATTCTGTTTTGGACAGGAAACCTCACTTGAATTTTACAGCACTGCATTTGTTAATGTAACAATTTATATGTGTTATAAATAAAGTTTCTTTAAAAAAAAGTTAACAGAAGCTGTAAATCAAGGTGCAAGGAGGTCCCTCATAAGAGGACCCTTGGTTTCCACTACCACATTTTCAAAAGTCAGGTTGATTCATGCAAACAGAGATCTCCTCAAGAGCAGGTTAATACCTGTGAGAGCACGTATGCCCTCCAGCACACACCAAGCAGGAAACCTCTCGCATGTCATGGCTGCTTTGTGCACTTTCTGATTAGTTTGTGTTCTCACTCGCAGCTACCTCTACAACACTCAGTTGTTGTGCAAGAGAGTTTATGTTGTGCGTGTGGCAGTTAAAATCCGCAGGTGTTGTATTTTATTGTATTGTAATTTAATTATGCTCTCACCTTTTACCAGTATAGCCAACGGTGCCGCTACATACACACTCATCACGTGCATAGGGCAGCCTAATGATCATTAATCATAATAATCATAATGTTATGATTAGCGCCAAGTGTTATAGGTAGGGTATGTTTCACTCTTAGCTCCACAAACAGACACACACACACACACACACACACACACACACACACACACACACACACACACACACACACACACACACACACACACACACACACACACACACAGAGAGAAGCCGTGGTGCGGTTTTTTCAAGTTGTTGTCTAATAATGAATAAAGCTTTCTGTATGTAGTCTCTAGTTTGCCACACATTTGAGAGGACAAAAGGAGGACAGATACTGACTGATGTCTGTGTTTAATGTCAGTGATATTTATTTTTACTGCTGTTACTTAACTGTTGCTGCTCTAGAAAACAGTATTAATTTATATTTACTATACAAAAAAAATCTAATCCAGTTCAGGAATTTTTTTCTTCCTAATGTCTGAGTGTAATGTGAAAAACTACAACCAGTGTCCAAATATAGATTTTAGAGATAATAGTCTAAAAATATGTGAAAACGTTTTAGTCAAATAACTAGCATGGACATGGAGAGTCTAACAGCAGTTGGTCATTAGCTCTGACTACTAGCTCAGTGTTTATGCTATGGTGCTGTAGTCAGTCTGTCAGCCACTCCACTCGGTGTCGAGGCCTTGCCCCCTAAAGTCACTGTCCATCAGAGGTCTCTGGTACATTTTATAAATTTGCTGAGAGGGAGGGAGCTAGCGGAATTGAAGGCTGTAGTTACACTTTAAGCTTAACTTAAACTTAGGGGTCTGCACTCACTCCGTGCTGTTCACCAGGTTGTGAATTGTGGGAGACAGAAACCAACTCTTAGGTTGACTACTTTAGTTAGGAGTGCACTGACTAAATGCTGCAACACACAACAGCACAGACAATAAACATTGTTTGTAGTTAGTAATATGCTGTCGCTTAGGATCAACACCACTAACACACTGCCAAGTGCTGTACGCTGTCAACTCGACATCACCAGAAAGCAAGCTGCCTTCCTTGGAAATATTACCTCTTACACATAGCAACATGAGCTCAGATACCAAAAATTTTCATCAAAACACATGAACACATACCCAGTAAACAAACTGATGTTGTCAGCATGAGGCCTGACTGTCCATGCTGTAAGTGTGGAGGTAATAACTGTTGGAATACAACGTTGGATCAGTGCCGTCATTGTCACACGCTGTCTTGTCTTCTGACGTACGTGCAGTAGTGACATTAATGCTATTAGGGCAGCAATTATTATTATTATTTATTTTTCTGCTGATTATTTTCTCATGGTTTAGTCAATAAAACCCACAAAAAAGAAAAACTGTCCATTATAATTTCAACAAGTGAGCACAACCAGATAGGTTTTCTGCTTAATTGCTTTAAAGATGAATGGAATGATGCTTTGATTATGTTACAAATTGAGTTAACAAACCGGCACTAGGACCCGAATGGTGTTTAGCGCCGGTGTGGTGACCCGAACGATTTCCGGCTTGACGCACTTTCCGGTCCTTTTCGCGGTCCTTCCCGGCACACGATTGCTATCTAACGTAAGTCCAAGGAATCTATATGTGTCTATATGTGGTTTTTCATACATATACATCAACATTTACATGTCTAATTATAATATGAAAGTTACTTTAATAAGGGAAAGCCGCAAGAACACTTAGATTGTGCTTGGGCGACGATCCAGCCAACTTTTAAAGTCAGTCTCTATTTTCACTTAACAGCTTAAAATAAGCACTCATATGGGTACATATCGTAGCTAGGTTTACACTGATTTGTCTAGCTAATGAAAATGTCGGCTCTTGTGTTTATACAATCTGTGGTCGAGGTGGGCGGATTGAAAAAATTACAGACGTGGGAAAGGAGAACAAAGAAACAGAGCAAGCGCAGCATTGTTTTTTTTCATCTGTGAAGTATCACGGTACACGTGAAGATTTAATGCAAAAATAAGTTCAAATTAGCTATTCAGATGTATTTTCTTGTCTATAAGCTAAAATAAATAAAGTATATTTTTTATCATGATGTCATCATGTAATAATTGATATATTATTATTGCCCCAATAAGTCCATTAAAATGCTCCAATTAATTCAGAACGCTGCAGCACGAGTACTGACAGGAACAAGAAAAAGAGATCACATCTCTCCTGTACTAGCTTCTCTGCATTGGCTCCCTGTAAAATGTAGAATAGAATTTAAAATCCTCCTCCTCACCTATAAAGCTCTTCATGGTCAGGCCCCTTCATATCTTAAAGAGCTCATAGTACCCTATTACCCCACTAGAACACTACGTTCTCTGAATGCTGGGCTACTTGTGGTTCCTATAGTCTCTAAAAGTAGAACAGGAGCCAGAGCCTTCAGTTACCAAGCTCCTCTCCTGTGGAACCAGCTTCCAGTTGTGGTTCGGGAGGCAGACACCCTCACCACATTCAAGAGTAGGCTTAAGACATTCCTCTTTGATAAAGCTTATAGTTAGGGCTGGATCAGGTGAGTCCTGAACCATCCCTTAGTTATGCTGCTATAGGCCTAGACTACCGGGGGATTTCCCATGGTGCACTGAGCTCCTCCCTTTCTCTCTCTTTCTGCACTCATTCATGTTGCATTAATGCATGTTACTAACTTCACTTCTTCCCCGGAGTTCTTGTGCTTTCTCGTCTTGCAGGTTCTTATCGATCCTGGTGGAGCCTCCTGCCATGGTCCTGCTAGATTGCCATTGCCAATACTGTTGTTGCTGTGCGTCTGTCTGTCTGTCTGTCTGTCTGTCTCTCTCTCTCTCTCTCTCTCTCACCCCAACTGGTCGAGACAGACAACCACCCACCTAGAGCCGAAGGATCTGTCCTAGGTTTCTGCCTTTTAACAGGCAGTTTTTCTTTGCCCTTGTCGCCAAGTGCTTGCTCATGGTGGTACTGTTGGGTCTCTGTAATTAATGTTTTAAAGAGTTCGGTCTAGACCTGCTCTATTTGAAAAGTGTCCTGAGATAACTTCTGTTATGAATTGGCGCTATACAAATAAAACTGAATTGAATTGAATTGAATTGAATTGAATGGCAAAGTCCATCGAACAGAAACTAACATTCATACACACTCACACTAACCCATCGAACCCACAACCTTCCGATTTAGGAACGACCTGCTTTGCCTCTGAGCCACAGCCGAGTGTGAGTGAGTAAGAGAGAGGGAAGGAGGGAGGGGTGTGAGAGATGTGTTGAAAGCCAGTAGAGGCTCTTATGATAGAAAATATTGGTTATATAGATACACCTCCAATATAATTGGTAAGGTTATGTATAAAAATAGTATTGTTGAAACTCAATTTTGCTCTTATGTTTCTGTCTGAGAACAGAGACAACAGCGAGAGAGACAACAGTGAGAAAGACGAGAGAGAGAGACGAGACAAGAGACAGAGAGAGACGAGAGAAGACAGAGAGAGACAGAGACGAAAGAGAAGACAGAGACAAGAGAAGACAGAGAAAGACACGAGAGAAGAGAGAGACACGAGAGAGGACAGAGAGAGAAGAGAGAGAGAGAAAACATTTCCCAAATATACCCCAAATTCGAATTATCAGACACACAGAAACTCCCCTATTTACTATTTAGAAATGCCAAAAAGTCAAATTATTGCAGTAAAATATGTCTCCTCATGCCACGAACTGAGGACAACCAGTGGAAACTCAGATAAATGTATACAATAATTGATTGTTTTATTGTTGTTTTCTTTTTTTTGTTGTTTTTTAATATATATATGTATATATACATATATACACACACACACGTTTACGGTTTTATCTGTCTATTTTATTTTAATTTTAATATATGTTAATATTATATATATTATATATTACATTTAATAATTTGTTATTACTGTTATATTGACAACAGACTACTTGTTTTAACTGCAGCCTGTTACTTTACTACTGTTTTAATGACATTTTTAGTTAACACAAACTGATTGATTGATAGTTGCAGTATTACCAACAGTATAGATTATAATTAATTTATTGTGAATATTGTTTTCCTTTATTGTTACTTATTATTTTTTATTCCAAACGCTTGCTTTGGCAATATGTACAGTGTTACGTCATGCCAATAAAGCCATTTGAATTGAACTGAGAGAAGACAGAGACACGAGAGAGAGACACAAGAGAAGACAGAGAGAAGAGACAGAGAAGACAGAGAGAAGACAGAGAGAGAGACACGAGAGAAGAGACCGAGAAGACAGAGAGAGACATGAGAGAAGACATAGAGACGAGAGAAGAGAGGGACACGAGAGAAGACAGAGAGAAGAGACAGAGAAGACAGAGAGAAGAGACAGAGAGACACGAGAGAAGACAGAGAGAGAAGAGAGAAACACGGAGAGAGAGAGAGAGAGAGAGAGAGAGAGAGAGAAAATAAATTGAATACGGGAAAGAAACGACAAAAACACAAAGTAAATTACAACGTTATCTGACCCTAAAAAGAGAATTCAAACTGGCAAATTACCTGAACACAATAAAATGTCCTAAATTAAGAAAAATGTTTCCTCTAGGATTTTTTGTAGCAGTGGGGCCAGGCCCGTCCAAATATATTTATTGTAAATATTGTTTTCCTTTATTGTTACTATTATTATTATTTTTAATTCCAAACGCTTGCTTTGGCAATATGCACAGTGTTACATCATGCCAATAAAGCCATTTGAATTGAATTGAATTGAATTGAGAGAGACGTGAGAGAGATGAGAGAGACGTAAGGTAGGCAAGGGGTGTGGGTCTGTGTGAGAGAGAGATTTGCTTTTATTCCTTTACAGGTGCATCAAGATGGTTAAAAAAAGGTGGATTTTCTGCTTTGGTTTAAGGTAAGTATATTTGTGTGTATGCATGTGGTAAATACATTTGTGCTTGTTAAATGCAACATGAAAAACCTGTAAAAATGTTACTCTTAAAGGCAGCTGCCGCAGAGGGAGAGGAAGAAGAGGAAGTGGACCCCAGAGGCCATGGGACAGGTTCAGTCTTTTGCAACGGCCATATTCAAACAGCGCCACCCTGACGAGAGAAGGGGGAAGTTGGGCCAGACGTGGCTCAACTTCCGTAGGAGGAAAGGCCATTGCTTCACTTCTCGGACCTCAGACATTATTGATCGTGGGAGGGCATCCTGTGCAAAGAGGGGGCCGATTGAAGACTATTTTAAACTCCTGACTACCACCCTGGTGGAGCACGGGTTCAGGGAGAAACCCCACCAAATTTACAACTGTGATGAGACGGGGTTTCAGCTGGACTCGTCGAGAAGAAAGGTCATCGTGCCCCGGGGGACAAAACACGCTTATAGGCAGGCCCAACGCGGCTGGGGAGAATGTCCCCCGTTTCATCATATACAAGGGGGGATATCCAGGGGGGCCCTACAACAAGGAGGGGGTCCCCGACGGCCTCTACGGGAAGTCACCGGCAGGGTACATGGTGAGCTGTTAAGGAAGTGGTTTGTCGGGCATTTCCTGAAGTTCGCCGCGCAGGAGCGCCCGCTGCTTGTTTTGGATGGACACAAATCCCACCTGGATCCAGAGCTGGTCCGGGTGGTGCAGAGGGAGGAGGTCAATCTCCTGTGCCTTCCACCACACACTTCTCACATCTTGCAGCCTCTGGATATGAGTTTCTTTGGGCCCTTGAAGGCAGATTTCTCTGGTATTACAGGAGATCTGTCCTTCTTGGTTTCCAAGGTGAAGGATTGTGGAGTGGTGGTGGCTGGGTTCAGGAGGTGTGGCCTCTACCCTCTGGACCCGGAAGCCATTGACTGGTCATGTGTCATGCCACCCGGGCAGCGGCGTGGGACCTCCTCACCACATCCGCCAAACCCATCAGCATCTTCCTGGGCCATGCCTGATGTTACCCACCCATCCCCACCTGCCATAACCCCCACACCCCAGAGTCCATCCCTTGTCCCTCAACCTCCCAATCCCTATCATACCCATCCTCTGGTAACATCAGGCAAGATTACAGTAGACCTGGCCCACCTCCTGACCGAGGTCCACTATAACACCGGCAAGGTCAGGAGGAACACCACCAAGGCCAGGTTACTGACAGCTCAGGAGATGTCTGATGCCATCGAGGAGGCGGACCGTGCTGCAAGGCGGGAGGCCCAAGCTCTGGCCAGAGAGCAGCAGCAGGCCAAAAACAACGGCCCGACAGCCACTTCCTCTACCCTGCCTGGTGGCTCCCGCCCCCAGCCGCAGAAGAACAGCCTCAGCCTCCAGCTCCAGCCTTTCCACATCCCCACCAAGCCTGCCTGCTCCTGGTTGTCAAATGGATGGTAAAGCACATGTATTTCATATATTTATACTTTATTTATAATTTCCCTTCGGGGATAAATAAAGTATTTCTATCTATCTATCTATCTATCTATCTATCTATCTATCTATCTATCTATCTATCTAGTCTTGTAAATATCAATAACAATATTGATATATATTAATTAATATTAACTATTGCAGTATTTCCTCTTCAATTTTAATACAGCCTTGGGAAATAATTTTGTTGAAATATTAAAATATGATTTTTCTTTTAGAGCCATCAACAACGGCATTCGGCCTCCGAGGTTCCAGATTTTCTTCCTCTCTCTCCCAATGTAAATGCTTTATATCATCTATAAAAACAAGCAATGTCCTAAAATGTTGGTGACATTAAGGATGATGAGTAAACAACACGTTGTCTTATTTATACAGCCTGCAGACAGACAGCTGCGCCATTGTCCAGCTCCTCCTCCCCATCTGCTGGACCCACGACATCCACTGGTATTGTACTTAACATTAACAGTCTTTGTGTGCCATCCCATGATAATCAAAACATGTTCTTAAATATATTTTTTCTATGAGTAGGTCACACCACTGGAAGGAGAATGGAAGATCTGTGTAGCCAGTGCAGGGAACCTGACCCTCCGGGTGTCAGCTTGGAGGGACTGGTGCCGTGGGTCCAGTGTAACAACTGCAGCAAAGGCTGATTAGCTTTTAGCGTAACGTTAGCCTACCAGTCCGCTTTCTCCTTCTCTGGCTCTAGACGCTCAGCAGACTGTAGCGAAACTGTACAACTCACGACTACTAACGTTACTGTGAGGCCCAATACGTTAGCGGCAGCTGTCTGTTCCTATGATAAACACTGATTATTAAAGTGAAGATGCTGTAGGCTATTTAGTGTTTTTAACAGTTTAATCACTTGAAACAAGGTTGCTGATAATATTGATAGGGAAATAGTCAGTGATAAAAAGAAGTAGTGTGTGTGTGTGTGTGTGTGTGTTTGAGAGAGAGAGAGAGAGAGAGAGAGAGAGAGAGAGAGAGAGAGAGAGAGAGAGAGAGAGAGAGGAGGAGTGTGTGAGTGTGAGTGAGTGAGTGAGAGAAATTCAGTTAGTTTTATTGCAGGGAAGCACGTTGAGGGGATGGCTAGAGAATAGTGTGTGTGTGTGTGTGTGTGTGTGTGTGTGTGTGTGTGTGTGTGTGTGTGTGTGTGTGTGTGTGTGTGTGTGTGTGTGTGTGTGTGTGTAAGCCACATGAGGAGCTGCAGAAACTGACAGTAAAGCACCGTCTGTCTGAGAGAAAACTGTAGGGCAATAATGGCTGTTAACTACCAAGTTATTTTACTTTTTTCTGTGTTGATTGAGAGATCCCAAGCAGCAGAAAATTACATATTGTTAGATTAAGTGTGTCCTGAAGCTGTCTTTGACAGTTTCTTGTAGAGAGGAGCAGGATATTGCTGTTCAAGACTTAAGACATAATGTAACTGCATCATAAAGCCTACATAAAGCCTAAAACTACAGGCTTCACAAATGCTGTAGTAAATTAAGCATGATGAGTTGAGCATGTCAGCATGTGGCCCCACTTTTAACTCTCTCTCTTTTTTTCAAACCCTTATTGCAGATGGATAGACAAGTCTAAAAGTGCAGTATGGAAGTATTACACTCAACCAACACCAGGGAAGGCAGTCTGTAATACCTGCAATGAAGGTGTCAGCATGGGAGCAACAACAGGGAAAAACAAAAATACTTCTGTGGTCCCATCTTAGGATTCATCACCCTGAGTTGTATGAAACAGCACAGAAGAAAAGGGAATCTGAATCTCATCAGGATGAGGCAACTTCATCTCAGCCAACAATAGAGGACATGTTTCAGAAACAAAGAAAGTGGACAAACTCAGATGACAGGTCGAAACTAATGGACAAACTAGTCATAGAGATGATAGTCACTGACAACCAACCGTTCACGGTGGTGTCTGATGTTGGCTTTAAGCGCCTCATGGCTGCAGCAGAGCCACGATATTCACTGAAAAGTGACAAGTATTACCGAACTAAGAAGCTGCAAGAAGTTCACCACAAGATTGTGGACAAGATCAAAGCCCTGATTCAACCAAAGAATGCTGACTACTCTCTCTCCTTCACCACAGACTGCTGGTCTGGTGTGACAGAGTCTCTCATGAGCCTGACATGCCATTTCATTGACGCTGAATGGACAAGAAAGCAGGTCACCTTAAATACAAGAGCGATGCATGGGTGGTACCTGAAAGAGACATTCCTCAATATGCTTGAGGACTGGAAGATAAGCAAAGACCGTGTAGCACTAGTGCTTCGAGACAGAGGAGCAAATGTTGTGAAGGGAATGAGGCTCGCTGAACTCCCAGACCTCAGCTGCACGGCGCACACCTTGCAACTTGTGGTGAATGACGGTCTGGCCGTCACAGATGTCATTGCAATACTTAAGAAGTGTGCAACACATTTCCACCACTCCATTCTGGCCAAACAGCGTTTGCGATACATTCAGAGGGAACTTGGCCTGCCAGAGCACAACAAAATCCAGGCTGTTCCAACGAGGTGGGACTCAACGCTCCACATGCTTCAAAGAATGCTGGAGCAAAAGCGTGCACTTACCATCTACTGTGGTTAACATGGAGGATTTACAGGTCCCACTGCTCACCAGTGGGACCTTGTGTCCAATATAATTGAAGCTCTTCTCCCAATAGAGGAAGTGACACTTCAGGTGAGCCACAGCAACTCATCAGCATCCTGCATCATTCCATGCCTGACTGTGCTGAAGATGCTTCTTAAGATGATGAGAGGCCCTCCACAAAAGGCATCAGAACGCTCAGGCAAGCCATGAGGGAGAGCCTCGACAAGCGTTTCTCAAAAGTAGAAGACACAAAAACTGTGGTGCTGGCCTGTCTCTAAGATCCTCGTTATAAGAGTCATGCATTCTCCTCTGACACGACACTGAGCAAGGCCAACGGATGGTTGAAAGAGGAAGAGGATGCTGCCACACAACAGACCACTCGAGAGGAGCATGCTGCCACAGAAGGAGCCAGTATGGAGGAGCAGGCAGCTGCATATGGGACACATGAGAATGACGGAAACACCCACAAAAGGCAACAGAGAGAACACACATCCTTCCGCAGCCATGTTGATGAGATGTTCAGTTCTCTGCTGGCACCTCACACTGGTGACCTGCTGGCCAGTAGCTGCGTTGAGGATGAGCTACATCTGTACCTCAAGGAGCCAGTGATCAACAGGCGTAAAGGGGACCCACTCCAGTGGTGGAGACAGAATGAAGGGCGCTTCAAGCTACTTGCGAAACAAGCAAGAAAGTTTCTTTATGTACCACCCTCATCAGTCCCAAGTGACCGCGTCTTCACTGAAGTCTCTGCAATTTATGAGAGCAAGAGAAGCCGTCTCACTGGAGAGCACGCTGAACAACTCTGCTTTTTGCACCACAATCTGGTGCTGCTCAATTGGGACTACTAATTGATTTTAGACTCACATTTCTGTGCAAACTTTATTTAACACTGTTTTATTTACTTTATAAAACTTCAGGGAACTATTTATTTATTTAAATTTTCAGTTAACTTATAAGGTCACCAGCATATAAGAGATGCTGCTGACCCTGGGAACACCCTGCACTTTTTGTTTTTGTTTGCACTTAAAACAAAGATAAGTGAAAGATTAACATTTCAGTTATATTGAAATTTTGGAAAACTATTTACTGTAGAAAATTTTAGGGAGCTATTTATTTGTTAAAATGTTCATTTAACTTTATAAGACACGGTGCTGAGCCTGGGAGCTCCCTGCACTTTTTGTTAGAATTTTAAAACAAAGATGTCTATTGTCTAAGATAAAAACAAAACCTTTAACATGTTGCAAATCTGATAAGCTGTTTAATAAACATATGCTTAAAGGCATTTAAACGAAGTTACGTGTTGGAGTTTGTATTATTCAAAATTTTTACGCCAATATTTTCCCTTTTGCTGCAAATGAATATCAGCTCCAAATATCGGTTATCTGCCTCCTTGACTACTAATAATCGGTATCGGCCCTGAAAAAACCATATCGGTCTATCTCTACTATATACTAACTCTGCACTGAGTCTATTACAGGTAATTGTTATATGTGCATACAGCATATGTGTCTATAATGGCTAAATTAAATGCATCAGCTTGTATTTTACAAGTGATTGAAATGAGAAGTGTTTAACAAAATATCCAGTAGGTGGCGGTAGAGCCAGATGAGTTGTTGTTAGGTAGATGTTAGTTTGCCAGACTCAGGAACAACTTAATACCCCCACAACACCAGCAGCGCTCAATGTTTACAGCGAGCGGACGCGGCCGTTCAGCTCGGGAAACACCTCGCATACGGCTAAATCACCGGCGTTAGCATCCTTTTACCGACTCTAGTAAAGACAGGGAAAAGATAAATGGTTAAAACGATACATGGTTAGAAAGGTAAGAAGTTCGTCTTTACTGTAACACCTTTAAATCAACCGAAACCATTACATGATCATTTATATTAGTAGTTAAGGGAATTTCTATAGAATATTAGCACGAAAATCATTCGGGTCCCAGCGCTGGTACGTTAATAAACTGAACTTGGAAATTGTTTTAAGTTGTTGCAGATGTTATCTCAGCTAATTTTATTAATCTATTTTGATAATCAGGTGATTGTATGCAGAATGCTGGTGCCAGCAACTCATACAGTGGTTTGTCCAGATAAATAAATAAACATTATCAGGTTCTCAATAGTATTTCAATTCAGGGGGGGGGGGCGTGAAAAAATGTCTGTCCCCTGGGGGGGCATGACAGAAAATAATTGAGAACCACTGCCCTAGACTATGGAACAGCACCCACTCCCTTTCAGATGTGCCCCCTTCACTCACTCTATTAAATCCAGGCTCAAAACACACTTTTACTCACTAGCGTTTGAATCCTCCTTATGTGGCTGATTTACTGCCTATGCCTTTTGTATTGTTTATCTGTATCCAAGAGCTGTGTGCATTAATGTTTATGTCAGTGTTTCCTTTTATTTGTGTTTCTGTACAGCACTTTGGTCACTAGGGTTGTTTTTTTCTTTTAAATGTCCTTTATAAATAAATATGATTTGAACATTACTGTGTGTGAATGTGTAATTTAGCTGTGCTCAATGGTGCAAGTAACTCATCTAACATTCTGACACCCGGATTGGTAAAATAATAACATATAATAAGTAAGGGATAATCACTGAGAGGCAGGGCAATTAACAGTTTGATATGCCCGGCTCGTCTCGGGCGGTAACCTTCCACGAGCCAGGCAAACTGTTTATTGCCCTGCCTTGAGGTGATTATCCCGTTTATTCTACTTCTTGCTTGCCAACATAATAAAACAATTCAAATAATTTAATAATTATGCTTTTTCTTATTCATATTGCATGCTTATTAAATATATACTCTGAGTTCATCTCCCTCAAAAAGTAGTCCCCTTTAGAACTACGGTGAATAACGTTAGCTCAGCTGTAGCTAATTAGTTTCTATAGCAACCACACAAGGCTGCATCTGATCACTAGTTTAATAACGTAGTTGCTACATTGTATCTCGCTTGCGAAACTATGTATCGACTGACCCTCCTATAGATTTCCGACACATTTGAGAAACTTTTTTAAACAAGGTTTATTTTTACAATGGACCTCATGTTTGAAATTTCTGTGATAGAAAAAAAATACAAGCGGCGTATTGATCTACTATTTGATGACGCTGTGCTCAGTCAGCAGCAAGTACAACCGACAAGTCAGCAGGCAACCTGCCGGGTTAATGCCCTCCTCCCAGCCAATCAGAATCAAGCATTCTTAAACGAAGTAGAATAATAACAGATTTGCAAATCTAAGACTGTAACTGTCTTTTTTTTTATTAGCAAAGAGCAATGTACAAAACATTCAGCTGGCAGCTTCTTATTTTAAGCTGGTGCCGACTGTCACTTTCAATGATTAAAATAATAAACATCTCTGGTGGCAGGTCATGTCAGCTGTCAATAGTTGTATCCAATTTAACAGTCTACAGCTGTTTTTAATCAACATTTTTGTAAATGATAGTCAGGTTCCCTAAACAGCAAATGTAAAAAAAACACCACACACCACCTGCATTCAAGACAAGGTAGCCAGAATCTTTAATGAACTCACACAAATGGTGGTGATTATTGTTGAATGATGAACTAAATGGTATCCATGGCAACAACCATCATCAGGTCCCCTAGCTAAGTAGGTAGATGTAAACGCAGAGGTAGGACATTTATGAGCTATCTTTCTATAGAACCAATTAATTAATTTAAATTAAAAAGGGGTAATCCACAAATTCAAAAAGTTTCATTGAGAGCAAGGTAGGGCTGAGTATCACAAAAGACCACTAGATACCAAATTTCAATACCTAAAGAGTAAATCTCATCAGTTCAGTGCGCATTAAGTATGCAGTATGCTTGTTCCAAGATCTAATAATGCTGGTGATTGGTCATAAAGCGTTATATGCTTATCTACATAGATAAAAGTTTGTGCTGCTTGTTAGCTACCCAGTGCAGCTAACCTGTATCTGCTCGTCGGTGAGTCTGTTCACAACATTGTCGACCAGAATTAAAGCATCCTCTCCTCACCACCACAGGGGGTGGAGAGAGTTTCTGACAGCATCATCTTGTTTACAGACCGACAGGTATAAGTAACTTGACTCATTCTAGGAACTTGAAGTCAGTATATTTCAGAAACTGCTGCACAGATTTTGACCATTCAACTTTATGGAAGTAGAACACTAAACCCTAGTACCCTTTATTTGTTTCACATACGGCTCCAACACTAAGCAAAGGTAAATACTGTATATATAATGGTAAAGTGACCTCAAGGATACATACACTTGTGAAAATAATGCTGTTGTAGTGAGTGTTACAACTCCCAAACAGTATATGTACAGCTTCCCAATGTAAACCCATTCTCAACCTGTGGTAACTATGGGTAGTGCTTCTGTCTGGGCAGTTATACAGTGCCTGTGTGCATGTAAACAGGTGGATACTGTGGAGGGTAGCGGTTCCTTTTGCTGTTTTTGTGGATTCTGTAGTCCTTCTCACTGCGACAGCGTCGGCCCTTGTGAGGCTCTACAGAAGCTGCCGGTGGCAGCAGGCGCTCTAACGGGTCAGAGCTAGGCCATGCCCGCCTCAGCGTGTTACTGCTCGTCTTATTCATCTTCACCACGCTGGGTGGCAGACAGTAGACAGATAAATCTATGTACAAGACTAAGTCAAAAAAAAATTTTTCCCCACAAGAAATTTTTTTAACCCAAAGCTGCAAGTTCCTCACGTAATTTCCATCCTGGAACGTTAGGCGTAATAAATCAACTAATAAAAATAAACAACCACCATTGTTGTGAAACAGATAATTCCAGTCTCAGATTTGCCAGACTTTCTCATAGTCATGTCACTGTTGGGGGGTGGGGGGTCCCTCCAATTCTGCATACACACCTCTCCTGCTGCCTTCCTTGCTTCTCAGGTCACACCAAGGGATGATGGGACGGTATCGTTGGTCAAAGAGGGTCGCTTGGTAGGGAAAGCGGTAAAAAGACAAGCCTGGGTCTCTGTCAGATAGACAAAAGCCTGTGCAGTAAAGGGAGGGAAGAAAGAAAGGAGGAAGCGAAGGTGGGTGCGCTAATACAAAAGAAAGCGAGAGGAACGAGACTGCTGCTCAGCCAGCAAAGGGAGGAGAGAGAACGACACAATCTCCATAAAAAAGCAGACACACTCCTCCCTTCTACCTCCATCCATTATGATTCCTCTAGGACTCTGTTCACACACAATTGCTGATCCTGTTGGGGAAAAGTGTGTGTGTGTGTGTGTGTGTGTGTGTGTGTGTGTGTGTGTGTGTGTGAGTGTGAGAATGTGTGTGAGAGAGAGAGAGAGAGAGAGAGAGAAATGGTGTACTGTGGCAGAGCAAAGGGATGATGGAATAAAGACATGTAAAAGAGAGAAATCTACAAAAAGCAATATTAAGTAATGAGAAAGGGTTAATCCAGAGCAGAGCGAGTGCTGCTTTTCCTTTGTCTTGTCTTTCGTCCTCTGTTCACCTCTCTCTTTCTGCTGCTCGCCTGTCTGCACTCACTCGCTCACTGTGTTGTTGTGGGAGAAGGGAGGGAGGGCAGAAATTGTGTCTGTCAGCAGTTAGCAGTATTGACATTAATCCTATTAGGGTTGCAACTAAGGCTGGGCATCGTTCAAACATTTTTGATACGGATACCAATACAGAGACCTTGACTTTGATATCGGTTCCTGAACAATACTTTTTTTTATACCAATTTTATCAAATTAATTGTAACATTATACATTATGGTACAATTACTAACAAGAAGCTGATTAATTTGCATAGTAATGCCTCCCCTCTGAGAGCTGCCTTTATGACTGTCTGCCATGTTTGCCCACAAGAACTGGCTGTTTCTGAAAGCCTGGAGCAAAGACCAGCACACAAGTCTGTAGCAATTTGGGGTTCATTATCTTGCTCAAGGATACTTCGACATGTGGCGTGAGGATCCGGGGATTGAACCAACAACCTTGAGATTAGTGGATGACACTCTGCCTCTGAGCCACGGCCGCCCACAGCTGCCCTAGAAGTAGGTAGGGATGTCACAACCAGTTGATGCCAAAGTTCTGAAAAGGTGACGATACTCTTTTGGTCTACAGTACCATACCGTACCAGGGATTAACTTTTCTGGACCTGACAAGGCTGCATATACACCTAACTACCTTCCCATTAATTTTAGACTGTGGCAGCTTGCTACGGACCAGCCAGTGTGTGTGCGTGTGTGTGCGTGTGCATGTGTGTGAGTGTGATTGTGAGAGTGAGAGTGAGTGTGAATCTGATTCTATCAAGTGGTTCCAGAATTTGGATCTCACTCTCACAGATAGAAATACATGAACCAA